AGGGGGGTGTTGTTTTTCTTTTGTTGTTGTTGTTTGTTTCTTCTATGGAAGTAAAACTGGCCCTGCTTTGAGAATGAACGTGATGACTTGCAGAGTTCCCTTCCAGCCTGAATTATTCTATGATTTTTTTTTTTTCCCAATAGCAAGGGAGCCAGGAAAAAAAGCTGAAAATACCATAATGCATACTAAATAAATTTTGAAAGAAAAATGGGTGACAGCCTAGAGGAATTTGCTGCTGTTCCACAAGTTAACCATGTGTGGTCAAGGTACCAAATGCATCTTCTAAGTATGCAATGAATTCAGTGCTTTCTGTGACTCAGTCTTTCTGGTTAAAAAAATTTGCTTAGAGTTGAAAGGGATAATATGTTCTGCACTGACTTTATTGGAGGAAATTTAATTACATCTTTTGTTGTGATACAGTTGTTCTGGTGGAATTTTGCCATAAATCATAACTTTATAGGGTTCACTTAATTGACAGCATGTGAGAGTCTAGTGCAACAATTAGTTTTGTCTCTTTTCCTTATCTTTCATTTGTTCAAAATCTGCTCCTGGCTATGTTAGTTAATGTAATTTAAACTAATGACCCAGAGGACTAATCTTTTCTACAAAGCTAGATCTTCATTAAAACTTAAGTGTTCTGACTTTTAAATGACATTATGCAGAGGAAAGTGTTTGACATGAATAAATAGTAATGTGTCCATTTGCCTTTGCATCTTTAACTTTTTCATCTATTACTACTTTAGTGTCCTCTACCCTGTAGATGTCCAGGGCATGTTATTCAGGTATAATACATTCTGTTGTGGTTATAGCAATGTAATGATTCTGTTCACTGTTCTTCTTTGAGATCAGGGAAATGGTAATGAAACCAGATTTGTTCACGTTTGAAAGAAAATCTGTCAGAAGTACTTGAGAAGTGTTTTCTGTGGGAACTGTATGTCTGATGCGTGCCTTGCTATAGTGTTAGGGAGGCTGGTATGGCCAGGAATCTCACCTGGAAGGGGATGGCCAGTTTTAAAGATACTGTACAGTTGCTTCACGGAAATGACCGGTTCTGACCAGACATGTTGTTGCTCTGAGCTTGTCAGAAAGGAGAATATCAAGAAGGAAGATGCTTCCTTTCTGCTGCCTGTGCTTAGGCTAACTCTTCTTTAGAAAGTCTTTTAGCTTTTAAAAAGCAGGATGATATCCAGGTAGCGATTGTTAAAATACAGGATGAATGGAAAGCTGAGGACATCTGTAAGCAACACAGTTTATGAATTAGTTGTTTCCATAGTCAAACCAAGACCTAAGACTCCTCAGGACCAGATTAGCGAAAAAGATCTGTGCAAGAGGAGTTTATCTTTTAGTTATGCTTGTACCAACCATAACATCATCACCAAAATCGGAGTATCAAACCAAAATATGCCCAAAATACAGAAACAGGCCAGTTGCATCAGCTTCTCCCAGGTAAAGAAGATTCCCAAGCAGCGGAACCACATACCATTCAAAAACCTTTAAGAATGAAATCCAACATTTACTGGTTGTGTAGAGAAAAGTACTTATACTGGTTGTGTAGAGAAAAGAACTTATACAAAAAATATGCTACAATTCACAGGTCTTAATTCTTGGAGGGACCAATAGTTCCTGAACAACTTAAGGCCGTCAATCACGTTAGTGACTCAGCCAGCAGATTACTAGGTGCCACCAAATGTCAAGATTTGCAGTTGCTTTCTGTCCTGCTTTCTAACATCTGTGCTTGGCAAAGGGTTGCATGCTTTTGTTATTATTGAATATTTATATTGTAGTAGTTCTTTGAGGCTGGCCAGGTTCTAGAAACACGAGTCTCATTCACTACAAATTCTGAATCATTCTCTGAGCAGAATCTTATGTTTGCATTGAATTAAATGAGATTTCTGCAGGAGGATCAGCATATGATCATGTAGTTAATTACAGATGGTATCTTAATGCATATTTAATGGGCCCAGCTGAAGGTTGCATGGTTGTTCTTTATTCTGTCACGTACTACTCTGTGAATGCCTAGTTTAGTCACCTTAACAATTACTTTGAGTACAGCCTGGCATGTTACAAGTGTAGAATCACTTGTCTTGCGCATGTGCAAAGCTCCTGTTTTGTAATAATTCCTGTGATTTGGGGGCTCTTCCCTTGCGTTGGTCGCTCTCATGCTTCTATACCAGCTTTCCTTACTCTACCAGCATGCCATTTGCTCTGCGAGATGGAAGCTAGGGACTGCTACTTCTGTCCTCATTTCAAACTTATCCTTCGAAAACTCTTTTGAAAGGTACTTTAGCAATTAAGTTGGTGATTTGATGCTTCTAAAAAACAGCCAAAAAAGCTCCCCTTGGGTGACAGTGGATCTTTTCACCTGCTGCCACAGTCAGCTCGAAACCTTGGATGTTAAAATCTCAGCTGATGATTGATGGAGGAAGTGTCCCAGGGTTTGACTTTGACTGGGGAAGAACCATTCCTTCAAAGTTTTGCGAGTGTTAGATGATGTGCTTGAGCTTACTGGAATCATTCTTCGCTTACTCTCTATCTTTTTGTTTATTATAATGTGTTAACTTCAGAGAGAAAGTAAATTTTTTTTTTTGACGGTAGAAACAGGCAAAAAATATTTGCCACCTCAATTAGAAAAATGACTGAGATCATGTTAATGTGGTCAATCATACTAACATTGTTAATATACTGTATTTATACAGTATATGGTATATATCTTATATTGTGTACTTCGGGAATTTTTAGGCAGTATTTAATTAAAAGGAAGAACATTTTTTCCAGTGGGCTCTGTGCTTTGCTAGAGATTTTGTGATACTGTGTATTTACATGTTTGTCCAATATTATAGAGTAGATTTGGGAGGTGCAAAAAAGATTTTTTTTTTTTTTTTAAATATTCATGATAATTTCAAACTTAGCTTTAAAAGGAAAGACAAAGAAATTG